CAGCAGGAAACCACCATCCATCAGCACAGCCCTTACCTGCGCTGTAACCTTCAAAGCTAAGTCTGGAGCTGCCTTTGCCGCTGGGCACCTCCCCATGTACCCTGGGGTGGGAGGGGGCTCCAGGGTCACAGCTGGTGCCCTGCAGCCCTGCCCGGGGGAGCCGTGGGGCTCAGGGTCACCTGTGCTTCCGAGGCCCTTCCCATGGGAAGTGCATTGAGGGGATGGGGCATGGGGAGCAAAGTTGGGCTTGGGCCTGGGCAGCCTCGCGGGGCTCAGGGTGTTTTTTCAAAAAAATAATTCTTTAAAGGGGTGAAGAGAGGAGGGACAGTTTGTGTCGGAGAGGTGTCACCCACAGGGCACGATGGCTCCAAGGGGCACGAGGACGCAGGGCTGGAGCTGTGACTCAGGACTTTTGCTTTCCATCCTGGTGTCGGTATTACATTTCAAGGATTATATCTTATTCAGACAAATGGCTGTGCTCACAGCCGCGCCTGGCAGAGCTGGGGTGGCTGAGCCCAGGACTGGCATGGGGGGGTTTGTGCACCACCTGAGGGGTCCAGGCTCTGTAACAACTGTTGAAAATTAAGTGTAATAATACATAAAACCAAGGCGAGAGCCCCCAGCTTCCCCTTTGTGACCTGGAGTGCGGGTGCCATGGTGGCCAGGGTGTACAGCACGTGATGGGCTGTTGTTGGTAACCGCATCCCGAGTGAGCTGGAGCATGTGAGGTTGTATTTTTAACTCCAGGGTGACATGGAAAACCGGGTGCCTGGTCCAGGTGCCGCAAAGATTGATGGAAAAAGTCCTGCCACCCATCGGCACCTCTGCTTGCTGACCTTGGACATTTGTGTTAGCAAATCTTAGAAACAAATCTAACAAATCTTAGCAAAGCATAGGCTAAGAACATCGACTGCATTTTATTCCTCAGGTCTGACAAGTAAAAGCACAAATTCTTTTTGGAAAAAAAAAAGAAAACAAAAAAACCCCAAACCAACTTTCAAAACACGCGAACGGTTTGCGTTTCTCAGGACGGAGGCCGTGCCGTCAAGCTCCACCACCGGACACGTGTCCTTTGCAGAGATGTAGTTTAAAAAATACAAAACAACAACCCACAGAGGAGGAAAAGACACAGGGCTATGGGATTCCACATCAATTTTAGAGAAAAAAGGGCCCTTTTTTTGCTGTTGTTATAAATATCCCATCCGAGCAACTCAGAGCAAAATATAACCGTGATGAGGACATCTGTTCTGCTC